AATGATCCAGACAACTGCCAATTTGCGCATCAATTGTTGAATAAAACATGATAATCATAATAAACCAGAGGGGAATGGGAGGGCCCGGGACAAATAAAAAACACGCGTATATACATATAAAATAAATAAATTGCGAGAAAAATAAAATAGTAGACGATGGTCGGTGGTCTGGTCCTGAGTCCAGTCATCATGCATAAATGAAATGCGAATCAAAGCGATACCCAATTGAAATGGCCAATGACCAAAGCCAATATACTCGTAGGTCTGCAACATGAAATTAAGGATCGGGATGGGTGCGGGTGTCCTTTGAAGGGCTGTGCCCGGTGCGAATAAATAAATGTAATTGAAGGCAATTATAGATGTTCGATTCGAATTAAAGGTCGGTTTTGTGATGAGGGAGGTGGGTACTGAAGTGTTAAAGCACTTAAGGCATGGCGTCTAATTTGAGGATTGCAATAATTTAATTACACTACCTATATGTGTGTACATTAGAGAAAAAGATTAAATTACAGAGTAATCATTATGAGTATTAATGGCGTATTAAAAATTAAACTTCTGAAATATACAACTTTAACAATGCAGCCTTTATTATCATTTACCAAAAAATATTATTATTTTTGTTTTGCTACCTTTCAAAATATTTAACCAAACTAGATGCTCATGATGATAATAATAGTATTGTCATAGAAAGTGGGATGCAAATAGGTTTAGGGTACTATTGTACGTTTATGGGTATTTAAGTTGAAAAATTCGTAGGCACAGCATTTAAAATCGATAAACAATTTCTTTTACTGGCTATTGCCGCAGAACTTTCAATAAAACCGGAAATAAGATAGACGCAGAACTCATTTTCATAAATAGCTGGAAAAGTGATATACCCAAGGACAACCTTCTACTTATTCAGACACGAACTTAAACACACGCACACAATTACGGGGCAAATGGCCGTATCCCTTGCTGTAAACCTCTCACCTCCCAACTTTCACCCGCTCTGCATCTATAATTTGAAAAGCAAACTCATAAATATTCAAAAAAGAAAAGGCGGCAACGTCCATCGTCGCATTATTGTTGTGTGGTGTGTGTGCGAGTGGGTATCTATGTGTGTTTTATATGATTCGCCCACTACAAGCACGGACACTGGGGGCGGGGAAAACAGCCACGCCCAGCCAAAAATGCGATTTTCTTTTTAATATTACCAAAGATGCCGAAAAGCAGGGGAAGGAAAGATGGGGCTTTACACAGAAATGAATTTTTGGTACCTGATTAAATTCAATCTGCATAATTTTCAATCAATCACAACGATACTAAGGATATAAAACATTTCATTAGTTAAGTAATTTATTAAATATAATCAATTAAGTATGTTATTTCCCTAAAAAAGTTGATAAAGATCACTTAACTGCCTAGTTTTTAGAAGTTTTTCTGGAACATCATTTTTTACATATTTAATACCACTTTTATTATTTATTCCTATGATGAGTTTAAAAACTTGTTCTTATAAGGTAAAGCATTTTTTTCAATGTATAAAAGATGACGAGAGTCATTGTCTGCGAGTGTGTGTGTCGGGATGAGTGAGTGTTTATGTGTGTGCATGGCTTTTTGAAAAGTCCGAACCATAAAATTGAATAAACCGCATTGAAGGACATTATTTTTTATTAACTGCAGGGTAACCCTCTGAGCGTGGAGAAGGTCCTGCAGAGTGCTAAACCGAAATCCCGAGCAGGTTGTCCTTACGGTCACCGCCTTTGATCCCCTGCCCCCGATGTCCTGGCACTCAGTCATGTCCTGTGCTTTTGACCGACGTTTGTCAAATAGTCTTTTGCAATTTACACACTCAAAAACTTTTGTGCGACGGAGGCGGGCAATGGGTTATGTTACGTTGCAAGATTCCCATTTGGGGTTACCATTGGAGATGACAGGGGCACAAGAACATTCCGCGGAAGAATATAGAAAAATACATTTTAAAACTAAAGTTGAACAAACTTGTTGATTTTTCAGATGCTTATAAGAAATGCCTCGAATACAATACAACATACTTCGTTTTATTGATCCAATTCTTACTTTTTGTGTAGCACAATGTTTATAAATTGTTAAAATATTTTACTTCCGATATAAATAAAACAATACATGATTTGGTTTTTTATTTTAATAAAAGGGTGATCCATAAAATAAAACAGTATTTGGGTTTCTAAAAAAAACTCTTATAAAAAATAACTTTAAGATCTCAGCAGTCTTTCGTGATCTGTTGGTCCCGAAAATCAGTCACGCTGTCATCTCCCATTTTGGTACCCATTTTCGGGGATATATCAGCATTGGGTGCAGCGTTTGTTGGTTATGGACCCCAGTCCTATGTGTATCCATTGTGTGTGTCTGTGTGAGTGTCCCTCTCGGCGGAGTGTGTCTGTGTGTGTGCACTTGCCTTTCAAGCACCTTATTTATAAGCACTTTTAATGGAGTTGGCTTACGGAAAACGTACGAGTGTGGGTATGCGAGGCCTGGCAGCATATTTCTTGTCTGCGTCCTTCCTTCTCTGTCTGTGTGTGTGCGCTTCAAAATCTGATTACGATTTTTATATGACACTTTGATATGATTTATTTGGTCATTCAGCTTTTCAAAGGCAGGCCTCCAAGCCGAGGCATTGCCTTTAACCCCGCAGCGGCCACGCCTCGCCGAAAGGGTGTCAATGGCTTTTGAAATATCTGCAGAGAATTTCATTTTTGTTTTTACCCCTCGATGAGCCAAAAAAAATTGGGGATGCTATCCTTGGACGCACGACAAAGATATACCCTTATGGCTGTAACGGAAGTTCGAAGGTTTAGAAATCAATATTTTATTGCCGACAAATGTCATCTTAAGCCAAGTAATAAAACCATTGTTATAAGGTAACATTTGCAACTAATCTGTATTATAACATACAAATTTAAAAAGAAGTGCTATCGGTTAATTAATGTATTAATTATATTATTATCTTACACAGCCAGAGATCTTTTGTACAAGGTCTTACAACAACGAGTTTATCTACCCCTTGAAAGGGTATAAAAAGAAATAATAAAAGGGATTCAGTCTGGAGGACCAGCTTCCTACTTGTGCTCATGGCCGGATAATGTGAGGCTTCAGCCAAGTTATTTGCAACTGCCTGTTGTTGTTGTCGGCAAGGGTGTGGGCAGTGGGGGTCTTACGGAGGGCAGAGCCTCTGGGGAAGGGGCTGGTGGACCTCCTGTAATTGATGACCTTCGCGATACGTTGTCGTCATCCGTAGATCCTTTTTTTGGCTCTTGCCCCGGGCTCCTTTTCGGTTGTTGGTTGTTATTTTTATGGCAGGGCACTAAAAATTTTCTTTTTTAAATTGAATTTAATGAAAGGCGTGAGCAAAGAGGACGAAAGAATGGGAGGAAAAGCCCACGGGCGCAACATATTCAAATGGCATTTTCAAATAAATACGGTCGCGCTGGCCAAAGGGATCCCCCTAATCGTTTTCCATAAAAAATCGCCCATAAATAGGGCAAGTAAATTTACTTTTACGATTCTAGGGTTATTGAATTATTGGTACAAACTTATATAAAACGATCGAAGAAATATGTTAGATTTAAGAGTGGAAAAGGAACTAAATGTAAATAACTATTAAACTATGAATAAATACAGGAATTAAAATAAATGTATTTAATTCAATAATTACATTTCTCTCATATCAGGGAACTATGAATTAATTTAAAAATGTGTGTACTGCATTGAGACCAAATATTTAAAGAAATTGCAAACGAGAAAGACCCGCAAAGTCACATCTTTCCGCCATAAATCCTATTGTGTAAGCGAACAACGGAAAAAAGTAAATGAATAAAAATAAATAAAAAATAAATCGCCCGATGCAAAGTCCAAGTGCTTATCCTGGCCATTTTATGGGCTCGTTTCAAACTTTGTTTGCTGGCTGCTATATATATTTTTATTGCATAAAAAGATTTGCTCTCTTTTGGTTTCCCCCTCGGCAAGCCCCTGTCCCCCTCCCAGCATCGTTATAATAATTATTGCAGGTATTAAGTCAAGTAGCCGCAAAGAGCCCTCGTTACCCCCGGCTAACCCAATCCGTCCCTTTGAAGCGAGGCCCCTGTCCCTGGGACCTTTTTTTCTGTTTGTGGTCACTTTTTCGTTGCCCTTTTTTCCACGGCTTTGCATAACAATAATTTCGCCGTATCTGTCTCTTTCGCTCTGCTTTACAGTAAAACTTGGATAAAAAAGCCAGTGTAAGCAATTCATATTACTCGAACAAACACAATCTGACTTCAATGTGGATAAAAAGGTATCCAAAAGTATATTTTATATATATTTTGTAAGAAGAGGTAACAAAAGCAATGCAATTAGTTAACATGTTCGTGTAAACAATTTAATATTATTATAATACAACTACTACTATATTACTTTTAAAGCCTTTCTCTAAGTAATTTTTAGTATTAATTAATTTTTGTGGATCCTTACACTTTTAATCCTAACTTTCGAGACTATTCTATTAAATTTCCAAAAAAAGGTTATGTACTTACAAAAAAATATTTAAGACTTTTGTAAAATCGTTACAAAAGAATTAAAAAAACATGAAAACAATAATTTTAGTACCAAAGATTTCATATTTGTCCTTGTTACGGAAGCTCCACTGTTCTTGTTCAGATAGTATATGTGGATAGAAACCGCAGCGATTTTCGCGCAACGCGGTTTTTTGCGGCTCACGTTCATCTCCAGGGGACAAAACTAAATTGTGTTTAATTAATTTTTTGTTGCATAATTCGGGGATTTTAGTTTTACGCTGCTGCAAAATGGGAAAAATACCAAACAGTTTGTGGTTGTTGGTGCATCATTGAAGGCAACAAATGTACCGCACACGTGTAGCATTAACAGTCAGTTGGAAAAATGCTGAGGAGGGCAGAAAGCAAAGTATTGGGATTAAAACTATTTATTTATAAAAAAGTAGGTATTCTTAAACATATGAAATTACTTTTAATAAAAACGAATAAAAAATGGCATACTTATCCTGTGGGTACAGAATCAACCTATCACTGTAAACTAATTTTAAGTTATGTCTATTAGGGGTGGTTATTTACTTATTTGGTCTTGAGGTGCCTATAGGTAAACAGTATCAACTGCGCTTGTACATATATAGCTTAAATATTTAATTGACTACATGAATTTGATCCACTGAAGCAATCGAAGTTCGAAATTCTTCGGCCTCCTCGTCCTTGCACTATATGATGTGGGCAATCGGATCGCAGAACGCATGCAGGAATATCCCGGCTAATAACATATCCTGGCTTGCAGACACAAGGACCTCCGCATATCAAAAGGCAATTACTCTTTTCCTTGTATTCACAAGTCTCTGGACAAGCTGTGGGGCAGTGGGCTTGGGTTCCATTATCGGTGCAATCGATTTTTTCAACGGTGCAATTTGTCACAGAACAAATGATCAGTCCCACAAAGGCAAAAACTTCCCACTTCCACATGAGACTTAGGTACAGTATATTATATTTGAAAATGATTGTTATTACTTATCTCAAACTACTTTAGCTCCACAGCATTAACATTTATACAACTTAGAGTTTCGGTTAGCGTAAAATTGGCCATTTGCATCTGGGAAAAAACTCTGGTTTTCAAGATCTGTGCACTCAAAAAGAACACCGTGCTTAAATCAAGTACAAACAGTCTTGATTTAAGAACAACTTCATTCTTAACATTTTAAGTACGAACGTAATGGAAAGGTCTTAAATTGGGCTCTTTTTGTATTTCAATAATGATAAATTCAAAAAATTCCCAACTGTTTATTTTGAAGTGCTCAGTATATAAGGCGCATAAAATACGAGGTGCTAGTGCCTATGACCGGCAATTCTTAAGTAAACTTTTAAGACTAACGTTATTTGTATATGTCGCGTTTATCCATTTTTAGTTTCCTATTCTTCATTCTTTTATTGGCACATAATTAAAGCCCAATTTTTATTTACAAAATATATATATTGATAAAAGAATTATTTGTCCTTAATTTTATTTCGGATATGGTATAAAATGCTTTTTTATTTTCCATTTTGATACATATTGCCACATGTTAGTTTCCTTTAGTGACAAACTAAATGTTCTAAGGCTGAATCATTTAAAATGGTTAAATAACTTCAGTCCTAACATTTGTGTGACACGTTTCGGACAATCAGATGGTAAAACACCGGCTGGTATCTTCTTATTAATTACATATCCTGGCTTACATTCACGAAGACCTCCGCATATTTGCATGCACTCAGAACTTTTAAATTCACAGAACATTTTGCTCGAGTTCCATTTCCCAGGATGGAGTTTACAGGAGTAATCAGGATCAGAATACCCAGAAGAGCACAGTTTGTAAAGCTCCACTTGTTCTTCAACTAAAATTTATTTAATTTATTTTCTAAGTGGTTATTTTTAGTTACCAATTCCAAATTTTATTAGCAACCCTATTTCGTTCCATACCAGTAACTAGTTTGTGTAACTAACTCTGTTAAAATCAAATTATATTTCAGATATACAAATACATACCATGCATTTACTTTATTAGCCCACTCATTTATTTTTCTTTTCCCATTTTTCTACATATTGCATAATTTTTATTTTCTACAAAGACAAATGAATTAAGGAACAGCTTTCGGACAACCAGGTTGTAGAGCGCAGGAGTAAAGAAGATCAGCAGACCCAGAAGAGCAAAGTTTTCAAATCTCCACGTATTCTTCAATTGAAATTGGATAGAAAAATTAATATTTTTTTTCGCATAAATGACATCAAATCAAAATTTTATTAGCTACCCCATTTTGCTCCATTGCATTAAATAGTTTGGGTAACTAACATACTTTAAACTTATAGCTGATAGAATATTTAAAGCGCGCGCTCTCATTTTATGTTTCAAAAAAGAGAACTGTTTTTATACCCGTTACTCGTAGAGTATAAGGGTATACTAGATTCATCGGAAAGTATGTAACAGGCAGAAGAAAGCGTTTCCGACCCCATAAAGTATATATATTCTTGATCAGGATCACTAGCCGAGTCGATCTAGCCATGTCCGTCTGTCCGTCTGTCCGTCTGTCTGTCCGGATGAACGCTGAGATCTCGGAAACTATAAGAGCTAGGCTATTGAGATATGGCGTGCAGATTCCTGAGCTTCTTACGCAGCGCAAGTTTGTTTCAGCAGAGTGCCACGCCCACTCTAACGCCCACAAACCGCCCAAAACTGTGGCTCCTACAGTTTTGATGCTAGAATAAATTTTAACTGAAATGTATTGGTCTCTTCAATACCTATCGATTGATCCAAAAAAAAAATTGACACGCCCGCTCTAACGCCCATAACGCTTAAGTCTGTCTACCGCCGGTAGGTGGCGCATTTTAATCTTGATTTGCTGCTTGCATATCTCCATTTCCCTTTGGTCCCTTTAGCTGAGTAACGGGTATCTGATAGTCGAGGTACTCGACTATAGCGTTCTTCCTTGTTTATTATTAAAACAAATGCTTGTTTTAGTGTAAATATTAAAAACTGGCTTATGAATTTTTTTTGCGGGAGCAAAAATTAGACCAGATAACTCCCCAAACTCAAACGGCAGAATAAAAACTTATCTAATCACAAATTTTATAAGCGTACATAATTTCTTTCATTTTGTTCAACGAATTCTTAAGAGAATCCTTGATCTGTTTTGTGTGGAAAATTTAATTTTTTTTTTAATATTTTAGAAGAAGAAAACACACAAAGTTGGATAATAGATAATTCTAATGTATGTCTGTACCTTTTGAAATTTTTTTTTCTAGAAAATTATTTCTATATTCTTTTCGATCCGCCCCCGTTGAAACTTTTATTTATTTCAATGCCTACCGAATGCGACACATTTTTGCCGCTGAAAACTTTACCTCTACTTGGCGTCGTGTGAGTTTTCTTTAATAAAATTTCAGCCAGTCTTTTTGGCTCTGCACTCGTTCTGTGGCCATGTGACACGCACACACACTCTGAGGAATAAACCAACACAGATGCGAAACACAGTCACACACAAATGCAGACAAATATCTTGCAATGTTGGCGGCTGCAGACTGTCATTTGTTTACTTGTGTAAACTTTAATTAAATTCCAAAAAGACGACGACAGCCGCAGCTGGTGCAGAGGTTTCCTCCCCTTTTCCCCATTAAAACACCATTTCCCCGCCCAAAGTGTTGCCATTGCACAATTTTAGGCCCACATTGCATTGCAACTCGTCTGCCCATCGCCATAATTATGAGCCCTGGGCTGACCAACTCCGACTTCGTACAGAAAAAAAAATTAGGGACTTGGAAAAAATATACTAACGAACTTTTACCGAAAACTGAAAGTAAGTGATGCTGAAAAAAATCTAAAGAAATAGGTAATGTTTTTAGAAAATATTCACAGACTTAAGGCCCGTTTATTTAAATCTGGAACGATAAAATTATTTCTCTGCTTCAAATTTTAAATAAGAATCCAGGGCATTTCTATTGGCGCGTCACACACTATCGATGCCAGCCACCTACCGGAATGTAGCGGTACTACTGCCCATGCCAAAGCCTCAACTTTGTTAATCCTAACATTTAAAATTACAACGACATTGTTACGATTATCAGCATTTATGGGGGTATTGATCAAGAAAACCCATTTTATTTTAATCTGAATCGAAATCTTCAAAAATGTGGCGCCAGGCAGACTTTTGCGTTATGGGAGTAGAGCTCCGCGGAAACAAACTTGCAAAGTTTAAGAACTCTTAGAATCTGTATGCATAATCACAAATTTCTAGCTTTTATAGTTTCTGAGATCTAAGCGTTCATACGGACAGACAGTCAGACGCATAAACGAATATGGCTACATCGACTCGGCTATTTTTCTCAGTGAAACTACACGCAAGACTTCGGAATCACTTCAGAATAGAAGGGACTCAAAATGCAGCAACGCAGCCACTTAGGTAACATCTGCCACTCCTGACAAACCGATTCCAAATTATTTAAACAATTGTCGAAGGCAAATGGGAAAGTTTAAAAAAAAATGTACCTGTCTCTTGCCGGCTTATATATTTTCTCTCAAAGTATACTGTTTTGCAGCTAGGACTGTGATCTCTAAAAATGTTTTTAAAAATTTAAAAGAAATGTAGTAGGTAACATACAAAATTCAGGTAATTTACAAAACCCTACTGAGATTTTCAGAGAGGGTTTATAAAATTGTTATACTCATTCTATACTCGTTTTGGGAACAAATTGCTCGAATAGAAATAATAATAATAATACAAATTGTAATTAAGTTTAGTATTTCTTTTAGGAACAAATTCACTCCATTTGTAGATACAAGAATTTTCTTCCAAATGATTTCTACATAAATCGAATCTGCCAAATAAAGGAATGAATTGATTTTGTTGTCTTTAATAAGTAGGTTGGGGCTTGTTTTTTTTTATTTTTTCTAATGTACATAAAAAACACTAAAGATATTTCGCTTGAATGGGTAGAAGCGTTAATACCGATTTTAGGCCAGCAGATTGGGAGAGTTCGAAAGAAGAGGAAAGACCTAAACTGGAGTACCTGGTGACCAACAAGAAGACTCCCCCCGTCGAATTGTACCTCACAACATTCGCCTCGGCCTGCAGCGCAGAGGTCGTGGGCTATCCCTTCGATGTGTGCAAGACGAGGATGCAGATCCAGGGTGAGATGGTCGGCAAGACGGGCTTGGATGCCAAGTACCGGGGTCTGCTGGCCACAGCCATGGGAATCGTCAGGGAGGAGGGTCTTCTGAAGCTCTACGGTGGCATATCCGCCATGATACTCCGCCACTCACTCTTCAGCGGGACCAAAATGCTGACCTACGATTATATGCGCGATAAGATGATCGTGCGCGACCAGGACGGTAAGCCCCAGCTCTCGTTTATGGGTTCCTGCATCAGCGGTGTTGCGGCTGGGGCCACCGCCAGCATACTCACCAATCCCACGGAGCTGATCAAGACCCAGATGCAAATGGAGGGCCAGCGGCGCCTTAGGGGCGAGCCCCCACGAATCCACAACGTCTTCCAGGCCCTGACCTCCATCTACCGAAGGGGTGGTGTCGTTGGACTCTGGAAGGGAACTGTGCCACACACTTGGCGCTCTGCACTTGTCAGTGTGGGTAAGCTATAAAATCGGGATTTCTGCATCATTATACATCCAGAATATATTATCTAAAATGCACTAATCCAAATGGTTAGTAAAACTTCTTTTTGAAACCTGTAACGAGGAATATATTTAGGTAGAGATAGATCCTTTTCATCTCTACCGAATAGGCAGTCAGCTCTGCCCCAAGATACTTTAGTATTTTTTGAAAAAATGTGTCGCCAATTTTCTTTAGTAAAGGGCAATATTCGAAAATTGGTGATCAATATAGTTACACGTGGTAAACAGTATTACTTGCCTTTCACAGCTCTCGAAAAGTAGGCAATGTTTTTTAATAGGGTATTGCCTGGTACTTTATTGCTGTGTTAAAAGTATTTTTAGAAAAATATAAAAAATGTAATCTAAAACTTATCATTTATCATTAAGGCGACGTGAGCTGCTACGACTTGTGCAAGAGGTTTCTGATTGCCGAGCTTGATATGGTGGATAACCGAGAGGTCCAGTTCCTGGCCGCCATAACCGCCGGCTTAGCGGACGCCATTTTGAGTTTGCCAGCGGATGTGGTGAAGTCTCGCATTATGAATCAGCCAACTGACGAGAAGGGTCGCGGCATTCATTACAAGGGCTCCCTGCACTGCTTGAAAAGGCTGGTAAGGGAGGAAGGACTCTTGGCCATGTACAAGGGATTTATTCCCTACTGGATGCGTGTCGGACCGGCCAGCATAGTGTTTTGGACGACCTTTGAGCAAATTAGACGTTTCCGAGGCAATGAAGGTTACTAGGTAAATTGTGCTGTATTTAAACATTGAATATTAAAACATCACATTTATAAAAATTCAATAAAGAACAACTTTAATCCAATGTTTATGTGTAATAATATTATTATTCCACTGACAACATAAATCTTCCTAAAACGAAAAAATACTTGTACATTTAAGCAAATGTTGAAATGAAAGGAATTATTTAAGAAGGTAAACTGTTTCATTACTCGGGTATCGTGTATATTTTTATAAACAATAAATGTTAGGAACCCAATCTCTACAATTTATTTGAACAAAATAATGTTGAAATCTTTACAAAAACTGTTAAACAATTTCTCAAGAACGGTCAGAGTTGCGCCGGGCTTATGTAAATGTTAAATAGTCAGTCTTAATAACCATGAAACACCTTGCAACCTTTTTTATTGGTTCACTCAACCTTTAATATATTTTATTCCTTTAACAAATACGACCCATTTGCGCTAAAATATTTATAAACTCCGGAACTGCAGCGTCATAAAATCGCAATGTAATTACTACTCTTAAAAATCTCGGCTGAATATGAAACCCTTTTCAAAAGTCCTTTTAAATACATTTTTTTGACGTAACTGTTGCGTTAATAAAGTGTTGGACAAAGGACAAAAAGTTTGCTTCCTGGCTAGACATAATTTTAGGGCTCTTTGCACTTGTGTGTGGGAAGCCTACCCACACCTTCTGCAAAAAGAGCGGAAGAACGTCCACTGGCAGCTGGTGGCAACCCTGGAAAACATTGTCCAGCACAACCCAAATGTAATTTGTGCGGAGAGAAGCGGAAAATGCGACAAAGGGCGAAAACTTGTTGGTCTGTGTTGTCCACCGGCATTATTCTGTGACTGGAGGTCATTTTTGTGCATAGTTCATTACGATTGAACGGCCACAAAGGTCCCTTATTCCCCAAACATGTGAGAAAGAAAGGTAGCTCAAAGAGAGAAGGACGGGACTAGGGGACGCTGAAAGAGACGGAGCTTGACAATGCGACTTGGCAATGCGAAAACTTTCCATTTTAGCACACTTTTATTTGGCTTTTTTAAGAGTCATTCTAATTGGGCTGTCGGATGGGCTTGTAAGTCGTTTGTTTCGAATAAAATATTAATGTTGTTCATTTAATTAAGGAGATTTAATGAATATTGCCACTTTGGCTAGTACCCCTTGAGATTTATTTTGAAAACATTCCTAGTGGATTCAAAGTGGTTTAATGTTGTTTAAATTAACTCGATATAAATTAATAGTAGATAAATCAGTAGACAAATCAGAAAATTCGTAACTAGTTTTATTTTTATTAATTCTAAAATGGAAAATGCTAATGCTTTGCATTAAATGTACCATTTAGAGCTTCCAAAAATTGATAAATTGATAAACATTAAAAATGAATTGTTTTTTAATGGAATAAGACTTAAGATGGTCTCGACTACTTTCAAAGCAGGGTATACCTTAAATATTTTATATCTAAGAGGTTATTTTAAGTAATTAATGTTACTGCAATCAATTTTTAAAATAATTGAATGGGTTTTCTGTAGTGTAAAAGCCTATCAGTAGTAACAGTATCCTTTTTAGCTTTGTTGCACGTTTCGTGCACTGACCAAATGTCATAAAGTTGCATCTTCCACCGGCCACGCCCCCTTTTTAACCCGTCTACCAGCCCCTAAATCCAATGGTCAGTATCCTCTGACAACCTGATTAGTTTGGTTGCCAAATGGGGAGAGTGGGTGGGTGCTGCTCCTGTTGCTTCTGCGCTGTCCTTTGTCCTCAACGACTTTTCTTTTGGGCCATAAACTTTAAACTTGGAAATGCTGGCTAAGGTCGACTGAGGGGATTTCACTTCCTGGCAGCCACACAATGCCCAGTCTACGCCCATTTCTACCACTTTTGTGTGGGGTTCCCCATTGCTGGTGCTGAGACCATTTTGACCGTTAAATGTTGACATTTGTGCATTTCATTGTGTATGACCTTTTGGGCGCACAACAGCAACAACAGCTGCGGAAATGGTTACACAAAGAAAAATCACTCTTGTGATCAAAAATGTTTTCTTGCCGGTGAGTGAAAATAGCCGATTTTCTGCAATCTCCATCCATCCCTCTTGCACTTTTTTTAAGCTGAATAACGAGTATCTAAAAGTCGAGGCCATCGGCTATAGCGTTTTCTCTTGTTTCGGGTCGTTTTCATTGGGTTAGAGAATATATTATCAATAAATCTCGAAAAGTGAATCTTGAAAAGCTAAACTTAAGCAAAATACATAGAAAAAAAATTTGGACTAACTTATGATTTAACCATACTATTTTCTGTGATTCTGGTATTTCTTTATACTCAATAGAAAAATCGAACCTAACTTTAACCTTAATTATGGTTTTGTAAAAAAAATTAATCTTTAAGAAATACATTCATATATGTATAATCCGACGTCTAGTCCTATTCATTACTTTTTAAAATGTTAGTTAATAACTATAACTAAGTATTTATTTAGTATATATTTCTTAATTGATTTAATTTTTCTCAGTGTGCCAGCAGTAGCTCAGCTGGAGCAGCTGAAGAAGATGCGGAAGGAGCAGATGTGGAGCAAAAGTCTGAAAAGGATGCTTCTTCCCCACTATTGTCGTCGCTTGTCTACTCATAAACTAAATGTAAATTCCACCCCTCGGTGCCAACGTGCCACCACTTTTATTGCAGTGTTTCGCTGTCACGACGGTGGAGATATGCCGCCCCTTAACCCACTGCTGCCCCCGCTCCATCCGAACTATATCCTTGGTTCCATGTGTGGCTGTTCGCATTGTTCTCGTTGTTTTTGTCAACAGGCTGCAGTGCAGCAGTGGAAACAGCAGGAGCAACTCGGCTCCTTTGACTTCATTGTCCCTCCGTCTCAATGTCCAACTATCCCACTGTCTGACTGTCTGGTTCGGATGCAGTGGCCATGATATTTGAATTTATAAATCTATAAAACTCCACGGCGACGGGGGAGTGCCAGGATGTGTGTGCATGGGGCTGAATTAGAAGGAAATGAGAATACGTTTTGTTCAAATGGAACTGGTTCAAAGTGAGGACACCCCAGGGAACTGTTAAACACTTAAAGCGGAACAAAGAGATTCAATCAGTCAGCCAGTTTAGAAGCGGAAAAACCGGGATGCGGGTGAAGAACTGGTAGGAGGAAATGAAATACAAATATCTAATTAAGTTGGGTGAGACAAATAAAATCCATTGAACATAGGTCCTTTTCAATTTTTAGATTAGGTAGATATTGTAGAAAACTAATTTAATATAATTTCTATTAGTAGATATTGTAGAAAACTAATTTAATATAATTTCTATTAGTAGATAGTCACATTTATTTTATTTTGATTTACTTAAGACTTGAATATACAAATGGTAGAAGACAAAACACTTTACCTCAACTTAAAGAACTTCAAATTACATGATATGTATTTATACTGATTTTATTAAGCAAATGTCGTATAAATCTAACAGTTCTTGGTAAAAAACTTGTTAATAAGTTTTAGAAATCAAATCAAACTATGCAGTCGATTACACAGGACAACAAGTTTTGAATTTATAATTTATTGTTTTATCATAAGATCCACATATTTCAAGTGTAATCATGTCATTATGTCCTATTACCATACATATATTTACTGTATCATTCCCAGGGATTTTCCGCTGCAGTCATTGTCTGTCCACCAACTACTTTACAGCTGTCAGATTACGAGGGTTGGGGATAAATAGGGCTTTTGGGGGGAGCAAGGACTTTACACCCCTCGAAGTCCCAGTGGCCGCAACCCTTGAACCTTGTCTATTCACTTTCTAATGGGCCACGTTGACGTTTTTAGACTGCCACAATATATGTGTTTGTTGGAGAGTTTGTGTGGTGCATATGTCTAAGCTCTAAGCTCTTGGCCCGTACACCCCTTAACCCTTGGTCGCCCCTTCTCAATTGTCATCATGCAATTGTGGAAGTGCAGAAGTGAAGTCCTTCAGCCCCCCTCTCCACTTGTGTGCATAAAAATCTGCAACTTGTTACATATTTCTTTCTGTAGGAGATATTCTCGACTAGCCCCCTCTACAGTGTAAGAAAATTCTAAAAATTATAATTTAAATAACATAAAAAGAAGCACATTTGATTTTTATGCAACAGCAAAGGTGAATATATAACATTGTGAAACATTTCAGAATTTTTTAAAATTATTCAAACATATATATTCGTAATCCACAATTTTTTTGGTGTGTTAGGATAATTTTTCAGCCTTCCCTCCACATTGCCATATAATTTGCATTGTCGTGTCCGTTTTGAGGCTTAGCATACGTCGCGTATAAATTGCATAATTTATGTGAATTATGCCGCATAACATTGTCCTCGTCAGTTGGCGACCCTTGCCCCCCCGTTAACCCTACACAGCCCATCAATGCCGCCGTTGTTTAGCCTTCGGGTGCAATGAACTTGCAAAGTGGCCTTGTGCAGGACATTGGCATGTCCGCTGTCCCCAGTCCCTGTCCCCGGAACTTAATTGTGACAATTGTCAAAACACTTCCTGGATCCTCCTTCTGCTGGCACAAATCCAATTAGTTGGCTTACTCCGTGACACAATCACTCACTCGCTCTCTCACTCAATAATTTAGCAAGGATTCAAAAAAGGCAAGGACGAGTGTTGGCAACAAGCTCACTTCCACCTTTTTTGCGAGTCATTTGGCGAGCAAAACGATTCGTGTTGTTTCAATCAATGATGCCAATCAAAATGAGACCGATTTTTATGCCACAGAGTTTGAACTCCTAACCGGTGAGATGGAAAAAGAGAAAAGCGAGCTGCAAAATGGCAAGCTGTACGTATAACTATATTTATTATTCGATTGCTTCAAAGAGGATGTTGCCTCTGGCGTATAGAAAATATATGTGAGGAATAACCGTTTGCAGAATTGAAGCACGGAATGTAAAATGTTCTGGAGACGGCTTAGGAAAAATAATACCTCTTATTTTATTATTTTTTAAATGCTATGTATTTATGTATTT